TCACTCTCGCTCAGAGCTTAACTCAGTTCATGTCAATCATGCAAACTACTCTTAACGAGATAGTTAAAATGCAAAGCCAATTAATGCAAATGTTTTTGTCTAAATAACGAGTACTTTAAAAATTTGTACATGGAATGCAAACGACTTAAGCCAACATAAACTTGAACTCACAAATTTCATGTCTCGAGAAAGTGTGCATGTAATGCTTTGCTCAGAAACACATCTAACTAACAAAAATTTCTTTTCTATTCCTAGTTATTTATTCTATAAAACCAATCACCCAGATGGCAAAGCACATAGTGGTACAGGTATTTTGATACGAAGGCGTCTAAAACACAATTTTCTAGGTACATATGCTCATAATTATATGCAAGCCACATCAATATGCCTTAAGCACACAGGAAAAAATTCAACTTTATCGACAGTTTACTGCCCTCCTCGCTTCAACATTACTGAGACCCAACTTACGGATCACTTTTTAACTCTAGGTGAAAGATTTCTTGCGGTGGGAGACAACGCCATGCACACGTATTGGGGTTCACGACTCTGTAATCCAAAAGGAAAACAGCTCTACAATTCTATTTTAAATAGAAAAAATGCACTAGACGTAATCTCTCCTGGGCAGCCAACATATTGGCCTGCTGATAACAATAAAATACCAGACCTAATAGACTTCGCCGTAACCAAAGGCATAAACAAAAATTTTATCTCAACATACACTAGCTGCGATTTGTCTTCTGACCATTCTCGAGTTACATTTTGCTTACTTGATGGTCCTCAGTTATATGACTGTTCCTATAGCCTTACAAGTCCTAGAACAAACACACATACACACAAATTACAAGATAAAGTGTAAGTCTCATATTGAGGACGCAACCTCGGTTTTAAACTCAATTCTGATTTCAGCAGCAGAAAACTCCACCCCTAAAGGCAATAAAATTTACAGATTCAATAGAGTACTTACAAATAGTGACATAGAGAATTTAGTTTTACAAAAACGTAGGTTAAGGCGTGAATGGCAAAAATCTAGGTCCCCTTTAGCACAAAACTTATTTAAGGAAGCCCAAAGGAGACTTAGATCTGCATTAAGCAAGGAAGTCAAAGTCAGACAATATAACTATATTTAAAACCTATGTCCAAATGGCAAAAACCATTCATCTTTGTGGAATGTTAGCAAAGGTATATATTCTCCCATAGACTCTGATTCTCCAATAAGAAACTCTCTTGGAAACTGGGCGCGAAGTGATGAAGAAAAATCTAACGTTTTTGCTGATTATCTAAAAGAGGTGTTCCAATCAAATCCTGCAACAGGACATTATGATTTTCCTACTCAGGATCTACCTGCACCATCTATTGACATGCATATCACGGCCAATGATTTTGTGCAAATAATCACAAATAAGTTCGATTGCAAAAAGACACCGGGATATGATAATATCTCACCCATCATGATAAAAAATTTACCCCTTTTGGCTATAAATTTTATCACAAGACTTTTTAATTAGTGGAAAACATCTATGATTATTATGATTCATAAATCAGGTAAAGACCCCACGCTTGCCTCTTTATACAGGCCAATAAGCTTACTGCCATGCCTTTCTAAACTCTTTGAAAGAGCACTGCTTTTAAATTTAAAATCGTTCCTTGACGTTTAAAACTTAATACCGTCCCACCAGTTTGGTTTTAGGGAAAAACATGGAACTATTGAGCAAGTGAATCGTATAACGAATGAAATAAGACACGCATTTGAGCTCAGAGAATATTGTTCCGCGGTATTCCTCGATGTTAAACAAGCATTTGATAAAGTATGGCATAATGGACTCATATATAAGATACGCTGTTCATTACCTGCAAATGTCCACTCAGTTTTAGAATCGTATCTGCATAATAGAAGCTTTAAAGTGAAATGCAAATCTTATACTTCTAATAATTTCCCAATAGAAGCTGGCGTTCCACAAGGAAGTGTTCTTGGCCCTATATTGTATGTACTTTACACATCTGATATCCCGATAAGTAGTTCAGTTATCACCACAACGTTTGCCGATGATACGGCAATTTTATGGCGAAACAGAAACGCTGTGTTAGCTTCAAACCAACTTCAATCTCACTTATATCGGGTGGAGAAATGGTTGTCAAAATGGCGAATTAAAATTAACGAAGTAAAATGTAGACACGTCATTTTTACCTTAAATCGGAGTACATCTCCAACAATTTTACTAAACAACATTCCCATACCACAAGCAGATAATATAACGTACTTAGGTATCCACCTAGACAGACGACTAATTTGGCGCAAACATATTGAAGCCAAAAAAATTCAGATGAAGCTCCAAGCCTCTAAGTTGCATTGGCTCATTAATAGCAGATCTTCCCTGTGCCTAGAGTATAAAGTACTCTTGTATAACAGCATCATAAAACCAATATGGACTTATGGTATCCAGCTATTTGGTAATGCTAGTGCTTCAAATATTGAAATTATACAAAGAGCTCAGTCAAAAATACTAAGAATTATCACTGGTGCCCCATGGTATATTAGGAATGAAAGTATACACCGAGATCTACAAATTCCCCTAGTTAAAGCTGAATTTGATAATATAAGAAAAAAATATAATAAAAGGCTGACAGAGCATGTTAATCCCTTAGCAAGAAATCTCGCACTTCTATCCATTACTTCCCGTCTAAAAAGAACTGACCGTCCATCCGTTAATTAATATTCAACAGCTTGAAGTAAAAACCGCACCTTTCTTTTTAGTAATCTGAACCACTTTCTTAAGAAACCACCTAACATTCACTTTAATGAAATTTAACCCATTAATCTAAGTGAGGTTCGTGATATAAGGTTTACTTATTTTATTTTATTTTATACAATGTATAATTAAAATAAAAATTTGTAACATTATGTAATTAGTTATAAGATTTTACAACTTATTGTTAGTCTCATTTTAAGAGAAGATGCAATAAATAAATGTATGTTTTAAAAAAAAAAAAAAAAAAGTTCATGTGTAGAAAATATCTCTTATATTTTTTATAAAGGTTGATGTCTATATTTTGAACTATTATCAAGTTACAGACACAAGACATTGGTTATCATATTATTGACGAATAGAACGACGAGTTCCTGGATATGTTATTGTGTATAGTAAATAATTGTAATATCAATTTAAATTTTATAAGCAATACTATTTTCTTTAATACCTAGTTTTGAAAAATAGCAAAGATCCATAATATAGACCAAATATATGTAGTTTAAAAGTAAATGTCAGTTTCGTTATTGATTTATTTCAAATAAAACAATGGTACAAATTCAACCATACACTAGAAACGTGTCAGTATCATTTACCTAAAATGTGCTCGGTTTTATTAGGCTAGCCTTTAAAAATACTTATATATGAAAAAATTTATAAAAAGAAATAATATTGTAAAAGGATTTATTTTGTAATGATTACAATATTTTGCCTCCTAAAAAAATTAATATGTCCAAGTCAATCGAATTTTACCTAAACTCATGTGTAAACATATCGAACCCAAATGTCCATATATATGGGACTTGAAACTATAGTTCTTTAAGAATTGGCTGAATTGTTGGACAATAGCTTCACTAAACAAAAATAAAAAAAATTATAAAATGAATTTGTTTACAACAATTGAAATACCTTGTGTAATGCATTTAACTACGATTTTCGTAATATCATATACGTATGCAAGATCCGAAAACGAATATAAATACAAACGAATGCCAAAAACTAAATTCATAAAAACAAAATAATTTAATTATAAAAAAAAAATTATATACAATTTTTTGCTTTTTGCTTACAAAAATAATGACTGTTTATTGTCCAAAAGTTTTTTTTTGCCAAACACAACTAGATTCATACTAAAATTCGCACAAATTGAATAAATAGAATTTATGTATTAAAAGATTGTAATAGTAACTGCTTCTCACGTTCCTTTTTCTTAACAATATCAAGACTGCGTTGCCTCCAAGTACTTTTACGCAACTTAATGGGACGGCTACCAACATAACGTCCATCCATTTCCTTCATAGCGCGTATAAAATCTGCAGGTTCACGAAAACTAACGAACCCGAAACCCTTACTCTTTCCAGTGCGCTTATCACGTATAACGCGTGCTCTTTGAAATGATGGATATTTATTGAACGTGCGCGTTAATAACTCATCATTAACATCATTGCCTAAATCACCACAAAATATACGAAAGTCATCATCAGGCCAATCTGCTAGGGAAGGATCCTCCCAGACAGTGCCGCCAGCTATGCGTACAGTTTTGCGATCTTTCTTTTTGCGTTCGTTTGACTGGAATGACTGTAAAGCTGACGAGGCACGTGCAGCCTTAATTGCTTCTTCTGCTATAGGATTTGGTCCAGATTTTTCAGCTTTGAGTTTTTTTAATTTTTGCGTTACATCAAACTGTATATTATTAATATCAATGTGTGGCGCGCTAGGAACATTTACTGTCTGCCTGCTTTGGTATAACTTTGGTGCGCTACTCAATACAATCGGAGTGCTTGCGATGCTAGATTGTTTCGGTGCCATACCCGTAACTTGAGTTGGCACAAATGTTGGTAGAAATGCTGGTGGTGGTGCAGGCGCTGGCCTGGATGGTGCTGAAACAGGAGATGGGCCTAATATATTTATTGGTTGTTGTTGTAATTTTTGCTGTACTGTCGTGTACGTGTTTGCTGCAATTATCGGACGCACCTGATTTGGTACAAACAAATTTCGTACCGGAATGGTTGTTGTAGGTTTTGATATTTCCGCTTCAAAACGGGAAAGTTCATCTTCTATATTTTTTCTTTTAGTTCCCATAATTACAAAACATTTATTATTTAACACCAAATCAACTCTTCACCCACCTTTCACAGTGAAATACTAAAATAAACTGACAACTTACTGAACGCTCAACTTAGAAACGATGTGGAATAAAATGATAAGTCAGGCAAAAAAACAGCCCATACAACGAACTCAAAATTTCTAGGAAAAATATAATAAAACAGGTATGAATATGATTTTCACAACGCATATGTCAGAAGTAAAGTGATTTCTGTGATATATCTGTAATAAAACATTTCATTCGTTTATGAAATAATATTATAAAAGTTATGTATGGCTAAAGGTTAAATGGTTGGGGTATTCAACTAATCAATTAAATAATTATATACTATATTTCACAATTGACAATAAATCTTTTTATTGTTTCTACTTTATTTTTTATGAGTATTTAATTTATTTTATCAAATAAAATAATAATTAACTAAAAAACTATTAATAATTAATTAATTGTTTCTTATTTTTATTAATTTTTTTCAAGAAAAACTACACAAATTTGTATATTAATAATAAATTAATGACTAATTATTATGAAATTTTTGATACAGTACTTATCAGTCTATATTACTTACTTATTTTTTATTAGGTCATCTAACAGTATTAGTGGTTTTATATATGATCACGATATATACATATAATACTTATTGTATAAGGTAATTTTACACTCTATCCTTTATTTACAATTTAATCAGGGCTATGCGAACATTTCTCTTAATGCCTTTAACATTCCGCAACCATAATTACAAAAAAATTAGCCATTCAAGTTTAGTTTGAGCAAACAATTGAATTTTTAGTATAAGTTGTAACATAAAGTATGTTTGTTTATTCTTTTATATCAAACGAGATTATATCAAACGAATTCATTTATAATGAAAAGCAATATATCAGTTATTCGATTTAATAAAAAATTATATATTTTGTGACATATAATTTGAAATGTAGTTTATATAGAATTAAAAAGAATTTAGTTTTGAATTAAGTGAATTCTTGCACTACCTTACCGCTGTTTCGACTTCCTGAAAGTATAATTGATTTATTTATTCATACATACTTTTTTAACTTTAAAATTTCAATCAAACAATCAATTTTGAAACATAGGCTTGTGTTTAAACACATATAGCTAAAATGATATGTCATACGCATATCATAATCCATTATGTTTTTGCAATAAACGACGTATATGTGTATTGTAATAATCGAAACATAATTTTAGAGTTCTAGAGTACAGTTAGCATTTTGAGTTGCATTTGAATACTTAAGATTAACTTGAGATTAAATGCATTAATTGATTTGTATATAGAATGGATTAATTTTTATATAGAATGAGCAAAAAATTCACGTTTTATTTATTATAGTTTATTATTTTAAGTCAATTGAAGCTTATATATCATACGAATTAATTTTATAATAAGTTTAAAAGTACCAAAGATTACATAAATAATAGTTAATAAAAAAAATTATAAAACAAAAATTATTGGTTTAACATGTTGATACATACAATTAAATTGTTTAAATAGATAATAAAAATTTGAAAATTTGATGTTACAAGTTAGTACAGCTGCTTAAAATTTACTGCTGCATGTTAAGTTGGCAACACTAAATGCAGTTTGCCATCCGGCTTTATTGTTTTGCAAATAAATATTAATTGCGTTATTTTTATATGATTTCAACATGAGCTCAGTTAATGTTTCAGTAGAAACGACTTGTGAAAATCAAATACAGGAAATCACTTTTGATGGGACCGAGATTTATCAACAGTACGCTTAATATTAATTATATATATTTCACTCAGCTAATGTTTACCTTGCAGTCCGCCAACATTGTCGGAGAGTCTAACAAAGTGTGCTGCACGTATAGATTTCAGTAAAACATCATTAGATGATGTGAAAAAAGAAGAGAAAACGGAAGATGATAAGGACGTGACGCAATGTCAGCCAGTTTTGTGGCCTTGGGATTCTGTTCGCAACAAATTAAATGACGCTTTGCAAGAGATATGTGTGTTGTCCGATGTTATTACAATAGCGAAAGATAAGCGTTACCTAGTACTAGATCAAGTGCCTGAAGAACCGGAAGACACAAAGCCGATCGTGCAAGTCTATAGTAGGAAGAAAGCACTTGCACATGCCGCACAAGTTATGCTAACAAATTCTGAACGCATGCGGAATGCACATGCTGAGCTACGCAGTCGTAACGTGTCGGATTTTCATATTGAATTGCTCCGTTTAAGACAAAATTGGCGACTTAAAAAAGTTGGAAATAACATTATTGGTGATTTGAGTTATCGAACAGCTGGTTCCAAATATGGCATGAGTGGCACTTTTGAAGTCACGAAAGCCGAGGATTCGCCTGATGATGATGGAGCATCTGGTAGTAGTTCTAACAATGGTTTGCCTAGTCAATCGCCGAAAACCAGTTCAGCATTACGAGTTATTGTGCCAGCAGAATTACAGGGTGTGGCTTATATTAAAGTTATAACACAAAAGGATCAGGAAGACCTTTGCACAGCTGTAGTAAATCTACATGGACATGGACCAAATTTATCGCAACAGGTTAATGAGTTTTTCCTAATTTTTGCTTAAATGTAAAAGTAATGTTTTGTGTTTTTATATAGGCTGGAGTTTGGCAAAAGACGCTGGAGTTTGCACAGAATGTTTTATTTTGTAAGGAATTATTTAACCAACTGGCACGTGAGGCAATTCAATTACAAGCTCCAATACCACATGTTGTGATTGGCAACCAAATACGTGCAACTTTACTTCCTGGCATACAATTAATAATATCACTTTGTCATTCAACAACATTTGATTCGAATCAACCTGGTCCGATTAATGATCACGATCACGTATTAGAGCACTCATTGCATCAATTATTGCGCGAAGTACATCATAAAAATTCATACCTTCCGTTTCCGCATCCCGCAAGTGGGCCACTTGGGCCAAGCAAAAAGCGTATGGTTGCTGGACCTTTGGCAACAGATCGTCATAATCTGTTAGAGATGACGAAATCCCAAACTATTTTAGAGCAAATAATTGCGCAGGCACAACACATTTTTATGCGTAAGCGAACCCAATATGTTTTAGATACGTTAGCTAGAGATGTTAAGGATCCACAAATCGTATCACATTGGAATGCTATGAACAGCCCCACCTTGTCGTGTGTCAAGATTAATATTGTTACACATGGGTAAGAAAAAAATAACAAATAAAATGATCTAAACAAAATATTTGAATTACAGTTACGATACCATAAATCGTACCTCACTAGTTATTCATGTAAAGGAACGCTCACTGAAGTGCATATGTCGTGATGGTCGTGTGATGCATCTTTCCTACGAACCACAAGAGCTACGTGATTTAATACTTTGCCAGATAAATTCACATCAAATATCCTGTTTACTTAATTTGGCACGCTGTATGGCTTGGACTGTACTTTCTAATAGCAACCATCTAGGTATTGGTAAGGTAGAGCCATTAGGTAATGCCAGTTCTTGCCTGTTAGCTTCTCCCAATAGTGATCGCATGATTGCTGTACAAATTCGTTGCGATCCTCAAATTGATGTTAAAGTATATATAGCACGTAGTCCACGTCAAGATTTCTTCCCAAGCCCTCTGGTACCTGAAAAATTCTGGGAAAATTTAGGCGGACAATTTAAAGAGGTAGTATTTATTTTCAATAATAAAATTTGTGCTTATATTGTATTCTTTTTTATTTAGGTGCGTTTTGATAAAATTGAAGGTAAGAATTTTCTCCACAAAATGGAATTTTTGATGGCATCATTAACCAGTAGCTCATCATAAATGAATTAAAATTATAGAAATGGTATTATTTAACTTATAATTTAATATTGATTCAAACTTGAATATCAGAATGTAATTCTCTTAAGAATATATAAATAGAATTTAAAACTTACAAGAGTATGCGTTTAATAAATTTTTGAGAATAAATGGTGAAATTCACAAACTTAAAAAAAAAATGGTAATTATAAAGTAAAGCAATTATAAAGTAAGCAATTGTAACAATGTACGCTGTAAAGTTAAGAATGGTGTTCATTTTAACATTAGAACGATTAGAATATTGTTGAAAGTGAATTATAAAAATTCAAGACGTGCGTTTCCAAAAAAAAAGACTAAGAAATCAGATAAACCAAGAAATGTGAAGCTAATTAAAAATAAGAACTTTCTATAGTAGGAAGAAAAGTATTTCTTTTCAATTTATATTTAAGTACTACTTTCAATATTAATCTTTAATATTGAATTAAAAACGCTATTCAAGATAAGTTGTAAAACAGTATTTTTATTCGGTTAAATCTATAAAACCATCAATAATTTGATTCTATTAGGAGGAACGTAAAAATAATGCAACTAAAAGTGGAAAAGAGTTTATTCACTATTAAATCTATTGTATAATTTGTTTGTAATGAGTCCAAGTTACATGTAAGAACACAATGGATTAATAAGTATTGAATATACATCAGCGTAAGTTTTACAAAAGTAGCTTCCTAAGAAAATTTATTTTTTTCAGTGAAGTACCAATGCTTCACATGAAAAATATGAACAATAAAATTTTTTTATAGACTGTAAGAAGTGATTCATATTATAGATTCATAACAATGGCTTTTTTATATGTCTCAACGTTTACACGCATTGCTTGGGGATTCTTGGAAGGTGGATATAAGTGATTCATATAATAAATCGAGACAGATTGTTCAAAGCCGCCACTGTAATTTATTGATAATAAAGTATAAGAATCTTATTTCTGTGATTTGCGGTGCAAGATTCATGTCTATTTCTCAATTGTGTGAAGAAAACAGGATGAAGTATTGTTGAAAACTAAACTTGTACTTTTAGAATGTTAAGATAGCGCTATTTTAGTTTTGATACGTGAAATTATCAGTCACCTGCCTAAAAGAAGATACAATAAATTAATCTTGAAAGGAAATTCTTCACAAAAAATATTTAATTGTATGCATATGTAATATATTTGTATTTATTGCTGTAGTACCGTCAAATAAAATATATAAAAGGTACCAGTTAAAGCATCCTCAAATTTTGACTTATATGTTTAAGACAGAATTTTTTCAAGACTAATTACATTCTTTGTAAAATAAAAAGGTTATTAAAACAGCGTAATATAAATAAAAACTTATGTATATAAATTATAAAATATATACGTATATTATTAACTTAACGGCTTGACTGTGTTCGTCAATATGAAACGTTTTGTAGTATTTTTGGTTTATTAGTCATTTAAAGTTAGTTAAGTCGGAATATAGTACTACTCTTTGAAATGCTGACCGTACCAAATGTTTCTTTGCAATCATAATCATTATTTACTCTAATGATTTAGTATGATTGGTGTTTTTATATAATGTCTTCTTTATTAAATTAGCATGTAGCATTTAAAGAGTACATAATTATTATATTTTATAACATTTAAATAGAGGTACTCAAACAGATTACTTTCGAAAAATTAATAGCGTAGATAATTATTCCCTTGTACAATTGTTATACGTCAATATGTTTGGTATTTCCTTAAAACATACATGCGCAATGTATCATAAATACTAATGTTTTGGAGTTTTTAGAATTTAAATAAGAGTATTTTATGCTCCACATAAGTTTATAGTAACTATGTGTTTCAATTGTAAAATAAATGAAACCTTTATAACTTATGTTTCTATTTCTCTGTTAATAAAAAATTCGAATAAAAAACTTACTCAAATGTAATGTAAACGCTTAAACGTTTTTATTGATCTTTCGATCAATATTTAAGAAATGTACAATATGGCACCTCTATATTTTCTCTTGCTGTAACGATTCTTCTCCAACAGTGAATAACCGCTCTGATTGGTTGGAGAGTTTATTTATTTATATTGCTAAAGTTTAGAAGTTATCAATAAACATATTACGAAACAATATTATGTTGGTCCATGCAATTAATTGAAAGAGAAAGTATAACACTGGAATTCGCTGCACCCCACAACTATTAACAAGTATTTAACATTGAAACGACCGCAATTTGATTATGAAAACATACACTGGTTTAAGTATGTATTAATTTGAAATTTAGAGTGAAGCAAAGTAGACGGTTACATTCTAGTTTTTTAATTTATTCCATAATAAAAAAGAATTGTCTTTTATATCAATTATATTAGAATAAATTCTTACATTTAGTCATAACTTTTCGGAATTTTCACTGCACAAGTAAAATGACAGCGCAATCATGCGACGTGAGCAATTTCGTTGATAACGGAAGAAAAATTTTAGGTGCTGCCTTGAATTATATGTAGGTATTTAGTAAAAGATGTACTTAATAATTTATAAATTATTTGATTTTAATAAATAAAAAATAGGGATATAGTTCGTTCCCGCAATGTACCTGTACCGGAAGAACCACTACTCTTTTTTAAACCCACGTCATCATATATAAAAGAAGGACAAAATATTATAGTATGAATTATACAATTATTTATATATAAATATAGTGTATTCTTAATTATTATATATGCATTCATCACTTTTAGATACCCAAAGTATTTACTAAAGTAGCTCACGAAGTAGAACTAGGCGTTATAATTGGCAAGAAGTGCAAAAATGTTTCAAAGGAAGATGCTATGAACTATGTTGGTGGATATTGTTTAGCTTTGGATATGACTGCTCAATGCAACTTAGTAATATCACTAGTAATATGATTAAATAAATGTGTATATAATTATTATTTTAAAGGCTGACGCTCGCGCTAAAGGTCATCCTTGGGCCTTAGGCAAAGGATTTGATACAGCAACACCTGTATCTGGCTTTATTGAAACTTGTGCTTTAGAAGACCCACATAACATACAGCTGTGGTTGAAAGTTAATGGCAATACACGTCAATGTGAAAACACTTCCGAAATGATATTCAAAGTACCAGATCTAATTTCATATGCATCGAAATATATGACTTTGGAACCAAATGATTTAATACTAACCGGTACACCAGGTGGTGCAGAACCATTAACTAGTGGTGATGTTATCGAATGTGGTATGGGTGACACTATTGCTATGAAATTTAACGTGTGTGCAGAATAAATTTACTGTATTGAATTCGTGTCTGTTATAATCCATCAAAAATATATTTTGTATAAATCTTAACGTTTTGTGAAATATAAAAAAAAACCATGTAAATAAAGCTTTGAAAACTGTATTTATTTTTTTAGTATCACATCTTTAAGGTAATTAATTTTCTTAATAACTGAGTTTAAATCCTTTTGTATATTTGCACTTTCAACTATATGTGTCAGACACCTTTTAAACTGCTCTGCTGCTGTGCGTAAGGTACTTGGTGTTAACACACCAAACCACTGCATTGGCTCCAAATAACCATTTTCCTTATCAATTGGCGAACGTACAAGTGTATATTCGCTATTGCTTAACTTGCTTTCGTTTCGTTCTTGCAGTACACGACAAAGTGCATTAAAGTCCCTTCCATTTTCTGTTGGTATTTGTGCTACACTAACAGATTGGGATCCATGAACATAACGGGTTTTGGCTAATAACAGTTGACCACCATTACTTAAGCGCTCTATGTTGACTCGGCTGGCTGCTTGCTGTTCAATTAAATCGAACATTTCTAAATATAGCGCGTCTAACAGCTCTCCAACTTGTCCTTGCTTTGCCGACATTTCTTTGATCCTTTTTTTCGTAAATCTGTCTATACTTTAGTACTTATAATTACAAAATTTCTCGATTGAAAATTTGTTTTTATATTTTAAAATCATATGACAACCAATATTACTATTATTCAGATAAAAAGATAAAACAGTGTTGTAAATGATTTAAATTTTAAAGAAATGGTAAATAATTGTGTATGAATCATTAATTGGATAAAAGTATTGTCTACATTTACAAATTAATTACACGAATGTGTTAATTATACAATAAGTCGACATATATTATGTTATGAGTCGCTATCTGTGCCTCGTCACTTAAGCAAGCAGTGTAGTTTAGTAATAAATGTTAGAATTTACGCTTTTTAAAAGCAAATTATTACAATTTTGTCAGGAATCAACACAGCTTATTTTATAAACAGCTAATAATCTAATTCTGACACTTTCCGACTTTAGAATGAATCAACATTTTTACAGCCTCTATGAGTTTTTCTTGCTGGTTATTTTTGGTGTCAAATTTAAAGTAAGCATATTTATATTTTCTGTCAAATTTAGGCACAATCAAAAAGTACAAAAGTAATAGTAAAAATACGTAATACGTGACAATACTGATGTGGCACTCTACATAACATGCATTTTCGTCAAAGAGCTTGTGGTGTCCACCCAAATGTATTAATGATACGAAATTTGGATCGTAATTAAATTTTAACAAGGAGTTGAGAAATACAACTCTGTAATTGGAATCCAATGTCAACCTATGTTCCACAGAGAGTTGACAAGAATGTAAATGCAAGCGGAGACGGAAAAATTTTGATTGAGGAGAAAAAGGTTGTTGTCAAAGTATAGATAAGTGATAAGTGAAAAAATTAAGCAAATTGTTATATTATAAATAAAAAAGTAAAAATAAATTGTCTATTTTAACGACAAGCTAATTTGGCCATGCCCATGGCACTCCACATAACATGGCCCTTAGTCTCACAGTGCTGTTAAATATGAACAGTACTATTCACTGTACAAATGAATCAATTCCAGTTTTGCTCAGTACTGCCATTTATATTTATAATAAATTTCCTATGTGGTAAACATTAAGACCTTTAAACCCAAATTTTTTTTTTTCCATTAAGAAAAGTTAAATTTCTCTATTTTTTTGCAGTTAATTGATTTTTGCGAGGAACACTTTATATGTTAATAATACATTTTTATTTTGGCAATTGACCTATCTGCGAATATTGAATCTATATATTTCGAATTATCTTATTTAATACATTCAGTGCAAAATTACATTACTATCCTACATTGTATTATAATTCGATTGCATCTTTTTTTACATCCAATCGGTTGAAAGAATGGAAAGCCACGGCGTAAGATTTGAATCCACGAAAACCACCTTCTAGGAATGCTAAATAAACAGATTTCAATCATTGGATCGTGAAGGTCAAAAGCTAAAACGTCATTTCAGTGTTAGGAGAAAAAACAGATAGAATACGAAAACTTAGTAATTAGACAACAAATATATTTAAGCCAAAATTGCACACAAGTGTAGGAGAAAGAGAGGATGTTATTGCTAGGTAGTGATATTGATTAAGAGTAAACTCTATGTAAGAGGTTGTTGTTACAACGATTGTAGAGAATTAGAGAGATTAGAGAAGAGACGTGGACGATGACATCTAGATAAATGCCTGGAATTGCAAAGAGTTGTACGTCATATTATTAAGCAGGTCCATGGGAAATTGAGCTGGTTTAAGAATTAAAAAGGAAAATTATGACGTCTGATAAAGTATCTTCGCGCTGGGGATAACAAAAAGTCAGATGTTGTTGTAAAAACAATTGCCTTACTTTTGAACAATTCATATTACTATGCGCTACATATTTTATAATAAACGCTTAAACTTGAACCGAATAAAAGTCGCGGTTCTCCAATACACTTTCCAACACTTATCATCACTTGACAGCGATAAACAACAACAACAACGACAATAATAACAACCACAAAGTTTGATATAAACTTTATGCGCTAATATTAATGAAAACATTAGTAGTTAAGCGTGCGAAGAGACATTTTGCAAAATAGGGCTGGAGTTTTGGTTCCAAGTGTGCTTTAAGTATTAATTGTTCACTTTACAGAAAACGATTGGTAAGTAATGGCAATAAGTGTGCAAGCAATATTATTACTATTGATCCTTTTGAGTGTGTTTTTATCCAATTTTTAGATATTTTTGTTGATTTTAAGTGGTTGGATTTATAAAAATAACAGTTATACCTATATGTAGAAAGCAGTTAACTTTTTTTCCATCCTAAACTTACCAAACTCTTAATATAAATATTGAATAGCTGCAGATAAGAACATAAAATATTTAGGGACCTAAAAAAAAACGATAACACTTCAAAAAACCCATGACTCAAAGAGAATATCTAGCATAATTAAATCGTTAACTTAAACTGGCAGCTGGTCACATTTTCATTAATATAACTATTGTAAGTGTTTATCAAATTGTTAAAGAGAAAGCTTTATTCAAATGGCTTATATATGTACATATGTAGATTAAATATTTGTGACGATGAAGTGTAAATCAGTATAAACCAAATCGCCGTGTTGATTGCTTAACAGCATCACACATTTTAAGTATACAACGTTAATATTTTAAATAAATTTTATTATTGCATTTTATACACATCTGTAGTGTAAAAATATTATTGACACAATCGTTTAAGCGTACTGCTATGGAACTATCATCAGACTCTGAAATTCGTAAACGTGTTGGCTTGATTCAATATGGGCACAGTGAAGGGATCAATAAAGCAGTTGACGAGGTAGTAAATATTGTACTTGACAATATTTATATTTACTTAATGCTATTTAGTCAACAAGTTCATGACTTAACAACTTCTCAGAATTATTAATATAGTCACCATTAAAATATGATAACATCACACGCGTCACGTTACACATCAATATTTTTTATCTACTCACTTTATTGTTTAATATTTAATAACATCCGATACATTGACGGCTTTAATTGTTTTAACTTTGCGCCTAACAAACTAATTATACATAATTCTATCTTAAAGCTTACATATTAATTTGAATAAATTTAGTTTTTAAGCATATGAAAAATATATTAGTTTTAAATAAATAATTTTTATTATATTCATTTTGTATGTAAATAAATAATTGTAAATAAAAACGATAATAGTCCGTACCTGTTTAAATGATTAACATACGATAAGAAAATTAAATTGTGTATATAACACAGCTTTTTGTTATCTTATATTTTTCACAGCATGTCAACTCACGTTCTTTAAAAAACGGTCACAAAAAGCATAATATACCTATGACAATGTCTGAAACAACTACTACTACTACTGGAACGTCAGCAGCACAGTTAATAACGCCTCTAGAGAAATCGTATCGTAATGGCATTAAACGAAGTCTAAGTGAAAGTTCTGCTGATGAGTATCAGAGAAGTTGTAAAGAAAATAATTCTAGCGGTTATAATAGTAAAATGTGGCAAAATGAACTGTTGGTCAATGCTAGTAGCACGCTACCACAACCACAACGTAAGAAGGACGTTTTGGATCCGGCTGAACGTGATAATAAATATCGCCGTATAAGTAATTTTATCGATATAGCCATCAGAGTAGCTATAGTTATATCATTTATGTAAGTATTTCAAATGCTAATATATCATACATTTAAAATATTTATATCTTTGAAATATAAGTAATAAGACTTATGAACTATACATATGTATTCTCTCCTACATATATAATGTTAGTTAATATTAATGTTGGTTAAGGTGCGCTGACTCTGGCTCTCAAATTTGGCAGGACACGAGTTCGATTCCTAGTACTTGCAGTCTCAAAAATTATTTATGAATAATTAAATACAAGAATTATTTCCAAAACCACAGATGATAGGTACTTGACAACTGTACGGTCAGCCAAAAATTTAATTAATTCAAATAATATAAAATGAATTTTTGTTGTTGTACTTCAGTACTTTTCGAAAAACCTCTTTCAATAATGTTAGTGAATTTTAATATGTGCCTTTATCTATTGTGTTTCTCATACAACGCAAATTCACTCTCAACTAAGTTAGACTAGTTGTATCAAATTCAACACCTTCAAGAAAAGATTAAAATCCCTAAACTAAATTCCGAATAGAAAAACCTATTTCAATAGGCAAATGTCTTCCAGATATAAGTGGTAAGACAATTGTGATATATATGTCATGGACCACATAATTAGAGGATAACTAGCAACAAACAACACCGAACTAAATCGCCAATATAAACTGACACAATAGTACTATATACTTTTAAATGTGAATATGCAGGAAAAGAGAAGAAATAATATTTAACGAGGCTTTGAAAATAAACCATATCTTTATAATGAAAATATATCTTTAAACTAGTTAGTTATTTTTACAAACAGGAAAAACTCAATGATATGAATTCAAATTAAAAGAGAATATTTTGCATTGAAATAAAAATACTTTTTTTCTCGACAGCAATATTTTTTTGAACGTGCAAGTTTTAAGTTATAAAACATAAATAAACAGAACCGAATAAACATATACCAGGTAAGAAAAGATGGACAATTAAAAAAATAAAAGATTAAAGATTCTCGAAACAGCGTTGTATGGTCAGCCAAATTTCAATAAATTAAAAATAAAAAATTTTTGTCTTTGTCCTTTCTTTGCTATTCGAATCCGTCTAACTTTTAAATAGTTTCTTTCGTCATAAAAAGACACGCCATTATCGACAAGAAAAAATTAACCTATAAAAGAATAAAGTTTATAGAGACTCTTTCAAAAAAAATAAGTTTGGTTGTTTATGTAATTTTTTTGGTTAGATTTTTTCTACACTAAAACTAAAACACTAATATTTGCTAAATCCCATATAATTATACATCTTATTAAAAGATTTTTTAACAATTTTCTTCTTTATCTATAATAAGAGATAATATTAATAATTTCTGCCAGAGTAGCAAACCAAACTATTTGTTAGGGTTCCAAGAACGGTCGGGCGTACGTCCCGGAGTCACTCGTCTCCAGCGACGACCAAGTGCCGTTCAACACCAAATACCAGTTACAAAAACAACGTGTGTTAGAACTTAAATAAATATTTAAAATGTTACACATTTTTAAAAATTCATTAATAAAGAATTCATTTAAAAATTCACTAGAAGTGACCATATTGTTGAAAACGATTGACTGTTCTTAGACATAGTAGAACGAAATATGTATCTTAGTAACTTCTCTTCAATACAGTAATGTGAGGTTTCATATCACTCGAAAAAAACAAATTTGCTATAGTTCTAATAAGTAGTGGTGAAAACTCACCGTCATTTAAATCCTGACGCGTTGTAAAACGTGTATATCTGTATAAATCTGTACTGAGTGGGTTAATTTTTAGTTTTGTGTTATATTTAAATAATATATTTATAATATAACATAATTTAATAATATATAAAAGTTTTGTTAAGAGGATTAAACATCCAAAAAAAAAAAAAAAATAATAAAATATATAAAAGTTTTAAGAGAATAAAAGTTTCAAAAAAAAAAATAATAAACTACACTTAAGTCTCATGGAATGTGGAGGGACGTTATGCGTTATACAAGTTCAGATTATAGATGACATATATTATGGATTAACTTATACAAGTTGAAAACGTGTTGATAAGTTTTAAATTTTTATCACATTTTTTTACATTCAATTTCAATTTTTTTACATTTTTAATTAAAATTTTAATTAGTATTGTTAAAATAAAAAAAGTTGTAAATAACATCTGTATTACATTTAACTCATCAATTTTAGTTACATTTTACCAACATTTATGCAACAGAAACGCTGTTCAAATTTTTTAATTGAATATTATTTTTTATATTCACTTATTCATTATTGTATTATGACTCGGAATAAGTAATTCTAGATCAGCGTTTTCCAAATTTTTTTGCGGTATGCCCCACGTAAGACTTTAAAAAAACCTTTTCTCTCCCAAGCTACATCTACTATGAAGGTCCCTTTTTCAAACAATTAACCAACTTTTTTGATTTTTTTTTAGCTAATACTAAAAATAACTATTTAAACAGTAATTAATAAGAGTATTATAAAAAGTAAAAAAAAAGTATTGGTTTTTATGCGGATATATAACAGATATTCTCAACTATACAAAACGTCAAAAAAAAAATTGGCTGTCCGCAATAAGATTTTTGGTATAGCACACGCACTGCTGGAAACTCCTTCTCCTTCTTTTTATATAGAGTTGACTTGCATGTGCATTAACAGCAATTATCTACTTTAGGATTTTATAAAGACAAGACTTGTTTTACCACAGATTTAACTAACTATAAACTTCAGTATATAACACCAATGGAAAGACTTTAGAATAAAAAAAAAATTGAAATACCCAAATTATATTTAGGTATAAATATTGGTTTTATATTTTTCGTCTATTAGATTTCAGAAGAATTACTATTATTAATTTTCGAGTTACACTGAAAACGAAATACATATGTAAAAGACAATTCTTTACGTTTAAGAACTACAATATTTTTATTCTGTAATTATTTTTAGAAATTTAAAGTTTAAAATTTAATGTAACAAAATTTAGTAAATTTAGTAGTAATTATTTTTTGTTGCAATAATTTTATTTATTTTTTATTTTAGCAAATTGGAATTAACAGTACCGTTTAAAAGAAAAATTCACTTAGAAGAGCTATGGCTTTACAAAAATCCTCGTATGCCTGATATTGTTGCGCCCCTCACTCTGATAGTAGCAGTTATATTTGGACCATTTTGTACTACACTTTTACGTTTATTAATATCAAAAGATCGACGCGATTTTCGTGCCGCAAGCTGGGCATGGACGTTGGCTTTATGTTTAAACGGTGTTATAACAAGTTTATTAAAAATTACCGTAGGCCGACCTAGACCAGACTTTTATTATCGTTGCTTTCCCGATGGTAAAATGGTGTTTAACAATCTGAATGCAACCACAGATAATACAATTGATATATACAACTGTACTGGAAATATAAGAGACATAAATGAAGGTTTTAAAAGTTTTCCCAGTGGACATTCATCGTGTAAGTTTTTATTGATTTTTCATAAATGATAAAAAAAAATTATTAATTAATAAAAATTATTTTGCAGTTGCTTTCGCTAGTTTTGCGTTTATAACATTTTATGTTGGAGCTAAGTTGCATGCATTTGACAGTAGGGGCCGAGGTCAAACGTGGCGTTTATGTTGTGTTTTGACACCGCTTATATTAGCTGGCCTGATTGCTATTAGTCGCACTTGTGACTATCATCATCATTGGCAGGATATTGTAGTTGGTGGTTTTATTGGATTTTTCACAAGTTACTGGGCATATAGACAATACTATCCTTCAGTGTTTTCAATAAATTGTCAAAGATCTTATAATAGATATAATTCATTCCATTCACTTAGAAAAACCAAATCTTTTAACAAGTTATATACAGACAGCGTAGATGCTGCAAGTGATACTAGTGATGATTTTGATGTTGGTACTAAAATAGAGAGGCATCCATTAATAATAAGCGAAAAACGCAGTCATAAAAAAATTTAATTTTTTTAAGCTGATTAACATTATCCTATGCACATACAGAAGTAGAATATTAAAACACAGCAGTGCTGTAGAAAGACGTATTTCATAGCTTAATTTTAAGATAATTAATTCTTAATTTTATAAATAAGAAATATAACAGAAAGCTAATGAAGACTAATTTTAAAATTATGCGACTGGAAAATGAATGAAATGAGTATTGTGTGCATATTTAACGAACTTTGAAAATAGTTTAAATTATAAAAAATTATTCTAAAAAGAAAACTGACGACGGTTCTAGAAAATAAGTTATTTCTCCATCACTTGATGTGAAGTACTGCTTATATATGCATGCAAGTGCATTTCAAATCTTTCGACATAGTTAATCGTTGTTAATTAGCAAGCTTATTAGTTGTTTTCAATTTGTCCTTAAGATTAGTCAATTATTTATTTAATAAATGTAAATAAATAGTTTAGTAAGTATGTACTTTGTAGAATAATTGCAGTAGATACATTGCATCTTTACTATTAAATGAAATTAATTTAAATATTGTCTATAATAAATTGTGTCCATTTAGATTAGTTATCAATACGACTATAAAATTATACACAGAAAAAATTCTTAATTCCTTTAATTGATTAAGTTAGATTTAATTTGCTATATTTTCCTTATTAACTATATACAATTTCCTTACTAAAAAGTATAGGAATTTTTCACTTTTTAGTTACTTTTAAAGAATTATACATGTTTATTTTGACTAAGTGAATTAATATCCTTATCTTTATTTGTTAACAACGTAGTCATGTGCTTTGATTGTATTTTATTGTACTAATTTAAAAAAAACTTCTAATTAAATTTAGTAGTTCATAAATATGTTAATTCAAAAAATAGTATTGAATCTTTAGTGTTTCCAAATGTATACGGAATTATACACACGGAATTGTACTCTATATAGTCATGGATATCAATAAGAAAAAAGTTTAAAAATAAATATTGAAGGTTGTAAAGTAATAAAAATATATTTTTTTTAGTAAAACAAAAATTTTTATTTGTTTAAACCTAGAAAATTATACGTTTTAATATATTTTAAATTTTATAAACAAGTGGTGATTTATAAGCAAAAATTAATTATATAATTAATTATAAATTAATATAATATAAATATAAATAATATAAATCTTAAAAATGATTTAATAATAATTTGTTAATATGTTAATATGAAATTTGTATAATTTTGTAAATAGTGTAATTTTATTTAAAATTGGGTACATATACCTACATTTTTAACAGCGAAGCTTTAATAAGCAAAATATCAATATTTTAAATATTTGCAGCTAATAAAGAAATATTGCATATCTTATATTTTGAATTATTTATTTTTATTATAGTATTTTTAACAGAACTGTAATGGATAGAGCTTAGAAAATGGCGACAGTTCTTAAACACAAGAGAAGTGACCCCGAAATGACTAGTTGATATTAGAATTGATTTATTAGGCTAATATCTGTATTTAAGATGTAAATAGTAAGATTAATTAGTGCAAATTTTAACTCGATTACGCTTATGTAGTTTTTGGCATGATCAGACGACATTACAACTTGTGATCTGCATCAAGTACAATAGAAGAAGTTCAGAAATAGTCTTGTTGAAGATATGGAGATGTTACAAAACGGTAAAACAAAAAATTTGTTGGATGTACATGGAACGCAACATATTAAATTTTGGAATCTAAGGATAAATTGGAATCGGAACATTATTCAATTGGAGTATAAGACAAATGTATCTGTTTTCATTTTTATTTATTTTTATGATTTTTGAACAAATTTAACTGTTTAAAGAAGTTCAGTAAATATTCAAAATATTAATTGTGTTTTCAATACCTGCTTAATTTTTTTATAACGTTCGTAATGATAAATATTTCCTTAGAAAATTTTAATAATATAAATTTAAATGTCATTCCATAACCTAAAACGGTTACAAAGTATTACTATGTTGAGGCTAGTTGAGTCAGTGCACTTGAGCAATTTTATTCTCTATTAACTATGAGGTTTCTTCATATCTCCTCTCTACGCCTTGACTGAATTATTGTTTTTCACTTCATCAGACTAAGCAATAACTGACCTCAGATGTGCATACCTCCTCGAAGAGCCTGTAACCATTCTGAGATTTAATAGCGCGGTATTGATAAACCTGTCAGTTTTCGTAAATAATTTTAGAACTTTATCCTTTATGTATTTTTTGATCTGTTGAATCTTGAGATCCCTCAGGATTTCATTCGTCCTAATGGTCCATTTCACCTTGAAAAGTCTTCTCAGAACATGGCTTCAATTCCCAGCTGGCGAATAGTGGTGTTTGAGGCCTTGCTAAACGCTACACATCCATATAGAAGAGGCGGTCGAATTATTTGGTTATACCATATAACAGCTTCCTGTTTTTAGCATTAAGATTTTAATTTTTGAATAGCGGTTGGAGGAGATGAAGAATTTTGGCTAATTCTTTCCATTGAACAAGTTAAAGCCATGTGAATCGTTTATCCACCGTGATGCCTAAACATTTAATGCTATCCTCCCAGTTTATTACCATATCTTCCATTTTCACTCTCGATGGGTTCTGTCTCGTCTTACGTGTAATGAACAGAGATTTAGTTTTTACATTATTGATTTTTATTTCCATTTCTGGACATACTCCAGGATAAGGTGTTACTCCTTATAAACAATATATAAATTATAAACAATTTCACAGTTATTCTAATACTATGCCACATATGGTTTCTATTTACTCGACTAATGCTCAAAGTCTCATTCATTAAAGACTCCGTGGTTATTATTTTTATCATTACATAATCATTACATTATCATTACATTTTCACATGAATTACTTGAATCACTGCTTTCAGAAGCGAACTTCTCCACAGTTATTTTTATAATCACGTCACAATGGTGACAATTTACTGGACTGCTTTATGGTTTAAGAATTTTTTAATAACTACATTAAGGATTATAAACAACTTTACAGTAATCATAATTCGTATATGTATATGTATAAGGAAAACATAAAGGGACATTTTAGGTTAGTCTAGGATAATACTTTTTCAAACGTATAGACCAGTGTTTCTTAACGTGGAGTGTATACTCTACGAATGCAGAATTCGATTTTTAAGCGGGCAATTTCAAAATTAACTTTAATTAAGATTGTGAAATTTGGTGACCGGAAAGTCTCGCCGTACACGAATTTTATGCATTATAGTTTTAAATACATACGAGTTGGCAACTCTATGTTAGATTTGTTATGGTTCTGGTAAAAAATAACCGTTGTTAACGAAATTCTTCGTGATATGGCTTCTATTTCATATTTGTACTAAGGAGCTTCCAAAAACAAACGTCGAAATATTGTATAAAGAACACAATAATTTGTACGAAAAGAAACAAAATATTATTTTAAAAAGTATTTTTTTTATACTAATCAAGAATTTTAAATAAATATTAAAACAAACATTAGAAAAGTGAAATACATGGTTAAATCAAAAAGCTATATGTGTCCTAAATATAAACTTATAACGGAAGTGAGAGTTCATTAGCTTTACAATTTACAAGTAAAATTTTGTCATTTACTCAAACCATCTAATAATTTTGTATAAAATGGAACAGAAAAATCAATAAAAATTTATTAATAAATTCGCAGCAATATACATATATACATCAATCATAATTTATATCTGATTTCTTTCTAACTAATTTTAATTAAAGATATTTTAAAATTTATAATGAAATGTACTCTCAAAGGCTACCAATGCCTTCACTAAGTAATTATGCACGAATATACAACCGGTGAGCAATCGAATTCCCGGCGTCAAATTCAGCAACAAATACAGCAGCAACAGTTTTCTACCAGTAAAAATTCAAAAACATCCGATTTAAGTGATTGCTCTAGCCGCCTATCGGAAATTGAAGATATTGAATATCAGAATACGAATACCGTGGTGAAGCGTGGTACACCTATTTTATTCTCAACTAATCGTGGTCTACATCTGCGTATGGCAAAAGCATTTTCCTTTGCGGCATCTACTAACACCAATTACAGTAATCAGAGAAGTGGCCGTAGTGGCAGTGCATACGATATTAAATTCTGTGATCTCGAACGTTGGGTAATAGTTTATTAAGTCTAATCCTTGGAGGTATGCTTATATTATTTTACTTGTAGAGCACAAATCATGCAAATAGAGTGAGCTTGTTGGAAGACAGTGATGTTATTCACAAATTTTCAGTTACTAAACCAACTCACACTGAATGCGGTTGCAGTGCCAAACAATGTACCACCATGTCACAGTTTGTGAAAAATGAGGGAAGCAAATGTTGTAATATTTCAGGTATTCCAGTAAAACGTTCTGTGGTACGATTCAATAAGACATTCAGGAGATTTGATACGAGTAATTAAAAAATCTATTTTAATGTTACTTTGTACTGTAAATAATTAATAAAAGTGTAAATAGTTATTTTCTCCTTTTTATATATATTAAAATATTTTCAATGAATTTCAAAGTATTAATATGATGATTGTAAAATTGTAATTACTGTGGTTAATAATTCTTTATTTTTATAAAATAGAAAATTTGTGTAATAGAGAAATAATTTTGTTTTTAAAAAAGTAATATACTTTAATCAAAAGCAATATTGTATGTACTTTCTCTGTTCTATATTATAACCCCATTATTATATTTATTTAATATGTCAAGATAAATTTTCCTTTATATTAAACATAAGGTCTTATGATGACGAAAGATATCATCAGTGATCAATATAAGAAATTGCGATAAACTTAACACAAAAACATAACTCAGTAATTATATGGTAATACGATATATAATATATACATATTATTAATAAAAAACCAAACAGCCGGTACTGCGGCCAGAAGAGTCCTATTGTATCAGGTAATATACATAAGATCATATGCTTCAAATAGTGCATTGATACTTCTGTTAAATTAAAAAAGTATTTTTAAGTAAAGTATATAATCCGGCTAAAGGATTTTTGTTATATGATATAATTCAACGTTTAATATTTTTTATTTTTTTCTATATTTCGACTATCCTTGAGAGTCATCATCAGGATCACGATCTAACATAAATTAATATTACTAAAACTATATCTACGTCATCCTCTTTATTCTATCATCTATATTGCACTATAGATGTACTAAAAACCATTAGTAAATATAATTTTTAATTTAAGATTTACTACCGGATTATAGTGAGTATATTTAGTCCTGTGAGATCGACATAGCATTGAATATTAGCGATTACGCGTTCAGTTAAAAAATGATATAAGTACGAGAAGAGTTATATTGGAACAGTGCACCCAGTGCAAGACAATGTTCAACCTATTCTTACTTGCTTCGAAATAATAGGCTACTAACGATATTTTTAAAAAGTTAGACAGTGAAAAAATAAATAGAGACGGTTTAACACATTTGACATAAATTCATCTCTTTATCTCTCTTTATAAATATTGTAAACTAATAAATAATAATTAAATTAATAATTAATTCTTTATTTTACCAATTTTACAATTATTTGCAGTTCTATGGTTAACTTATAATTTCAAGTTTATTAGTTCAGTGATATCCTTAGCACCAAAGTATTATAATTGATTAAAAAATATGGGATAAATAAATAATATATCAAATTTTAACTAAGTTGAGTATAATATATGCATGTTAAGAAATATTTATTTATTTCTATGGAAAAAATATGGAATATATTCTTCATATAATATATTTACTATCAAACTAATTTAAAGAGTAGAGCTAATGAGCAATAGTTGAAGAAAGAAGGCGTAGAGGTAAACCATGTCTCTGGTAGAGTGATCAAGTTGAAGGATCACTAACCGGACTTGTTGTAGGATACTTCTTTTGCTGCGTTAGGCCGAAATCCGGTAATGAGTAAGGTTACATAAGTAAGTAAATAAGTGCTAATGAATTGGACTTTTTTAACCAGACAGAGAAAGGTGACAATTCTGAAAAGTTATAAATAGCAGAAAATAAAAGGATATTAAAATTAAAAAATTTTAAAATAATGAAAGTAAATTTAGATCAGTTTAATAGACGTACTTTAAACATGTGTCAAACATTTAATATTACTTTATATTGAAATATCTGTATTTAGTGTTAGTTAGTGGTAGTTGCATATTTAGATATATTCATTAGAACTTATGGTATGACTAGAACATCAGTATGTGGTGGTGTTGGTATAATTCGTAATGACTTATGTTTTTTATAATTCAAAGTGATTAAATCATTATTGGTTATATTAGTTATACATTACTTTTTACGTAAAAAATCCATCACCGAAACTAAGGAAAGACTTGATAAATACTACGGGGACTCGGCACCATCAATTTCAATGGTTTAGAATTGGTTTATAGAGTTCCGTTGTGGTCGTACCAGCACTAGTGACGCCGAACGTTCAGGTCGCCCAAAAGAAGTGATCACGCCGGAAATCGTCGATAAAATCCATGAAATTATATTGGATGATCGGAGAATGAAAGTGCGCGAGTTGGCTCATGCTGTAGGTATCTCAACTGATCGGGTACATCATATTTTACACGAATATTTCGACAAGAAAAAACTCTCCGCGAGATGGGTGCCGCGATTGCTCACACTCGACCATAAGCGCAATCGTGTGATCACTTCAAAAGAGTGTTTAGCGATGTTCAGCCGTAATCCGAAAGAATTTTTGCGCCGTTTTGTTACTGTGGACGAAACATGGATCCATCACAACACGCCAGAGACCAAGGAACAATCGAAACGATGGGTTGCTAGGTTCACCCTCGTGGACAAAAGAAGGTCAAACAAAATCTGTCACCCAACAAACGCGGATTTTGAGAGCTTTGAAAAAACCTATTATTTGGAGGGAATAAGAAAATTAGAAAAACGGTGGACTAAATATATCGAGCTAAAAGGTGATTATGTAGAAAAATAAAATGTTTATTCGCCGAAAAAAAATTTGTTTTATTCACTGTCTCCAAAAAAAAAGTCACTGTCTTATCAAACCGCCCTCGTACCTTAGAATTTCATCAATAAATGGTACCTAGTTATATATACATTAAAAATAAACTATTACATAAATGCATTTTAAGCTAGACATAAATCATATAAATTTGTTTGATTTCCTTAAAAATATGGTTAGATATAGTAAATTTTATAGATTAGTCAGGTTGTGTTACATTTACTTAAATGGGTGATCGTGTCTTTTCTTAGACAGCGTTTGTACGCCAACATTTTGATCTTTATACCTGTTATGATGGTCTACTTAGTCTGATAGATAGTACAATGGGCCATTATTTGTGTTGAATTAGGCTTTGAAGTGCAAAGCGACCAGTCCAATTTAGATGTGGTATTATAAGGGAAATAAAAAATCGTAAATGCTGGTTCAATAGTACTAAAATATTAAAAATATTAAATAATATGATGTGTCGAAGAAATTTATTTAATTCAAACTATTCATTAAGGTCTAAATATGATTGTTTAAATTCTTGAAAAATATGTACATATGTTATGTATTTTCAGTTATATAGAAAAATAGCAAAAATGATATTATTACTGATGAAATGGCTGTATTATTGTGTATAAATAAACTTTATTAGTTTTGTGGATTCAATAACTTTTGTATGTAGGTATGATATAAATTATAATATTTAAAGGTTTTTTAATCTTTTATCGTAAAAGGTCCGAGAAAAAAGTAAGTATCGTTGTTATCAAAGTTTTAACACCCATCACACTGATTACAAATTCATTAATTATTATTTTCTAACTATAAAATTTTAGTTAATTTTATATAATTTATATATTAAATTTTGTTTAATGATGTAATATGCAGATTATGAACGATCAGCCAACTAACTTTATCTATTTTTTGACTTAATCCATATTGATCCTTATATAAAATTTTATTCTATAATATATTGAAAAATAAACAAGTTTCTTGAAGTTGAATACTCTGTGTGAAGTTTCTTACAATAATGCTTCTGACTTTCATTTTATTTTGTTTCTCACTAGTTTTTAACGGTCACCATGGATCCCGCAACTTGTACAAATAACTACTTCGTAACACTGTTTATACTGTTTTATATTCTTCAAGAAATGCGTTAATCTTTAGACTTAAGCGATATTAATATACTTACGAATTGTAAGGTGCGCATTTAATATTCTTAACATTACATTCAGTTCCACTTTAACCGAACCTAATACGCTCTGTATTAGGTTAGGTTAATGTGACAGTCAGCATAGTTGACCAACTCTCTTTGTCCATATGTATAACTCTATAGTGATACCACTTATGGAATAAATTTAAAGCTCTCATAAAGCTTAGGATGTTTTCAATCTTTTCGTTGGCACCTCTTTGAGAGAGTTTAAAACATATGTACTAAAATAATTACCCTGCTGTTGGCCAGAGCTGGGCTGTCGCAGTCGCATAAGCAGTGTACCATTGTTTCTTCTTCCTCCATAGGGTCACAACTTCTAAAATATTCATAGCACAGAAGTCTTAGCCTAAGAGCGTGCTACCAAATAGCCATCATATTACAGAACTTGATTATTTCGATGAATTCGACACAGAGAACGCCGAAATTTAATTTGAAAATTAATATATAAATATGTCTTTAATGCTTTTTGATCTTTCAGACATTTTTTTTTATTTTCTTCCTTATGGCTATTATAAAAAATTAATTAATATTTATAGAACTAAAAAAATTAAATCAAATCGAAATAAAACATTATATTATTTTACAAATATTGTTGTTTAAAACTTTATTCATTTATATTATATTATGTTGTTTCATTATTTGCAAATTGTATAATTAACACTAAAATACTTATTTAAACATATTTTCTTGTTTTTAATATGCATAAACTTAAAGTCTAATTAAATTGAAGTTTTTTTTTGTGTTTTAAATATTCTCTTATTATTAAGCAAAACTTCCCATTACTTTTAATAATTAAGTGTTTTTATATTTTTGATTTATTTTAAATAATTTTTTTTTATAATTATATATATACTTTTTTATATTAATGCTACATGAAAATTGTGTTGAGAAAAAGTGCAAGCATGCACACAATTTTATAAATAATATATATATATATTGTATATAAATTTATTATCTTACATTTTTAAATGTAAAATTTATGTGATTTAATGCTTTTCAACACTTTAGAAAATTTTAAACTTATATTAAATAAAATAATTTAGTAATTTTATTCATATATATATATATATATATATATATATATATATATATATATATAGATATATGTATTTAATATGTTTATTAAATATTTACTTTTAGATTTTTGTACAGAATTAATTTGATATAATATATATAATAAATGTTTTCTATTATTACATATAATATATATTTTATAAATATATTTATATATAAGTAGATTTTTTATAAACTATTATTACTAAGTGAAATTAAAATTCTATATATATATTTTTTTGTTTTTTCTATATCGTCGTTACGACCCAACCATATTGATTTTTGAAATTTTATAAACGTTGAGTGAAAATTTTAAAACTTGATATAGACTAAGTGTCAAATACTTTTAACTTGCAAATATATTGTTAGCTAATATATTAATTATGTTTTATCTCATACTAAATTTTTATATATTTATATTACTTACTGCTTTTATAAAAAGAAACAGCTAAGTAAGCACTGCAGTATTAAGTTTACATACATGTTAAATTTAGAATTTTATATTTTTATTTGCTAACATTTTCTTCGAAAAATATTTTATACAGCAGAAAATACTAACATAAGAATAAAACTTATTAAATTAAATTTTGTATAACTAGATTAAAAAAAATTAACAAATAATAACTGTATTGATTTACAAGCAATCAATTTAAAATTAAATATTATTTTATATTCTATTAATATATATCACACAATATATATGTAAAATACGTTACATATTATATATACAAATTTATATATATGCATGTATGTAAAAATTTTGTATAAAAACTTGGAATAAAAGTATAATTTAAGGCTTTTATAATTTTAACAACCGATAAATCATCTATCCCATAGTATTGTATTTATTTTCTTGCCTAATCTGTGATAAGTTGACAGACAGTATTGAAACAACAAGAAACATATATTATTATTACATTGAAATTAATCAACTGATTAAAAAAGGTATGTTTAGTAAGACTGGCTGGTACTGTGAGCCAAGCATAGATGTCTGGGCTAATAGCTATACCAATTAGAGGCGCGTTTTATATAGCTGCAATAGCTTAATTCCACCAGGTGAACTTTTGATTAAGTTCAATGTATCTTAGGTATTGGCATGGGTGGATGAAGAGCTTCATTTTTTATTGTTTTAAGTTTTACTCGGAAGTTAAGAAACTCCCAAATTAATATTTATTTTTTATTACACTCTAATTATTTCCGTCAATTGAAATCTATTTCATTAAATTTTTATATTTCATATACTAAAATTACATTGATGAAGCCATATTAGTAGATATTTGTTGTAACTTAATGATATGAGCAATTTCGCAGCTTTATACTATCTTTACACTTACATTTAATGAATCGATTTAGTATATATTTGTCAGTTTTGTGTGAAAAATTCCCAATATTACTGCATATTTGTCGAGTTAAGAACAATAGTCTAACCATAATATTAGCTTTAAAAATCTTAATTTTATTTAGACTGCGGTTTAGGCTTCATATAACAACACAACAAAATGGGAATATATGCACGAATGGAATTGTTTCATACAAAGCCAGTTTCTCTATTGGTATTACTAAAACAAAAATATTTTTATCGTTATATATGTAATTATCATTATTATCCTAATTAGAAAATAAGGTCAATTAAATATATTAAAAATTCTAAATTGTAATTTTAAAAAACAAAATTTGATTTAATAAGTTTTATTCTTAACTAAAACTATTAAAATTCAATTGCATAATTGCTTGAAAATATATTATAAATATTTAACATAACTGTTTAAGTGCCATTGGTAAGTAACAATATATTGTATATTATTGATACGTTTTTTGGTTTTATATTTTTAGAAAATTGTTTATATACTATATAAGATTGAATTTGACATTTCCAAAATAATAAAACGTACCAACATTGCTGCAACTTTCATGTATATTTTGTATAAGTTTATTTTGATAAGTTTTGTTTAACTACAGTTCAATGTCTAATTTAACATATATTTTATTTAGTTTGTGGTAGTTTATTTTTATAATATAATGCTATGAAATTTATGTATATATACTCTCTAAGCTGTTATTTATTATAAAACAAATGAAGAAAAATAAAAAATCATAAAATAATATAAAACTAACATTTACCATAAAAAAGTTTTAAGAATACAATTGGTTAGCTCACATTAGTTGAGAAGTTGTTTATAGGAATATATATATATATATATATATATTCTTATAATTATATATTATTGATATTGAATGGGATATGAGAGCATACAGAGTTAAATACTTGAAATCTTAAACGATTTCTTTAAAGCAACTTAAATGAAAAAGCAATATACATATTTTTTAATTTTAAATACATATTTATATTTATTTTGTTAAAGCAAATTAAACCCAAAATTTTTAGTTATTTTGTATGCACTTTGCTCTCTCTCTCTCTCTTCTACAAACTAATGTGAACACAATTAATAAATGTATTTATGTACATAAAACATCTATAAGAAAGTGTATTAATATAATGCAACACAAAAAATACATTGATTAAATATTAATTATAAAATAAAGGAATCATTTCTTCTCATTTATTTAAACAAATAAAACGGAAAATAAACAACACTTGGCTACGTACGTAGTGCAATACAGCGTGCAGCTGACAATATGCCAATGGGCGGGTTGTTAATATAGCTTTAGTTAACCAACAAGGTTGTTATGCATCATTAATATCAGCTATTATATTTCAAATCTTATTAACATAACACCATCTGTTATATTATTCGCAGGTTACATTTATAAGTTTTTTTTATAAGTTTGTATAACGAATTTACTAACTTTTGAAATTTAAATATATATATATTTGTGTATATATAAAAACGATTTATGTACAAATTTATAATATTAATGTTGCATAGGCTTCCTGGTTAAACATAAATTGTCAGATTCGAGTTAATTTTTATACTTTTTTTTTTGTTTGATATTTTTTGTTTCGTTTCTATATAATTGCAATATATCTTGCGTTTAAGCTTAAGTGTAATGTAACTACATATATTTTACAAAGTTATTATAATAATTAAGTTTCCATTTATCCATTTTCATATAAGTACAAATTGAGTGTAACTATATTATTTGTTTCATTAGAGATTTATATATATATATTTTAATTGTTTAAGATTTCAAGTTTTTATTATAATTGCGCTTCTTTGTACAGTTTAATACTTTGATTTTTTACTTCTAATAAAAATGTAATTTTTGTTTGTTTGTTTATTTGTGCCAAACATTGTCAGCTGCAAGTTGTAACTTATGTCCTTAAATTTTAAAATAATTCATATTTAGTTTCTACAATTGTCTGTTTTAGTTTTGTTTATGTTTAATACAATATTATATAGTTATAAACTTAATATTTTGCTTTAATATAAATACATGTTTACTTGTGTTGTTTTTGAATTTTACAAAAATTTTTACTCAACTTAAGTTTTCTTTCTCGTTTTATTTTTCTGTTTGTTAGGTTTGATTTAGGTTTAGGTTTTTGCTTAATTAAAAATTAAGTTCTTTAGGAAAATGCGGTGCGCATGTGGGATTAGGGACACTGTTGCTATTGTTAATGCTGCTATTGAGGTTTAATGCAACTGAGGGTTTACCTAAAAGATTAGCGCCTAATACCGCTGTGTGCGTCGTGGCCGTGGTATGTTGTTATTGCATGAAATAGTCCGGATGCTCAGAATCTTTTTCAAATCGTTTTGCTTCTTCGTGCATACTTTCTTTTATTTTCATAATAGCTTCTGATTCTGCTTGATTATTTTCACCGGGGCCGCCAAATCCACCTAAATTATAATCACCCATACCGCTACCTGAATCTTCTCGTGGTGTACCTGGACCGCCGTTTGCTGGTGAGTTTTTCATTCCGTCTAAGCCTGTACCATCGCCACCGCCACCATTAAGTACTGGACCCATTGAATTAGGTCCACCGCCCATTGGACCCATACCGCCAGGACCGCCACCACCACCATCAGGACCACCACCCATTGGAAATTCAGGTTTCATAAGCGAATACATGCTGTCGCCAGGACCACCGGGACCTCCTTGTGTGCTGTCTTGTGGTGAAGGCATTATGGGCGTACCAGGGCCAGGTGGACCGTTCGAACCGGGACCAGGACCGTAATTACCTGGTGATGATGATGAATACGCATTCATTGGTGCTGTCGCGTTCGGTTGCCATTGTGGTGGTCGACCACCAGCGCCCATACCCATGCCAGGAGGCATACCACCTGGTCCCGGTGCTGGTCCCCGCATACCACCTGGTCCGCCATATCCCATTGGACCCATGCCACCAGGACCACGTGGTGGATTCATTCGCGGATTCATTGGACCCATGCCACCAGGCCTTGTTGGATCCAAACTATTGGGCATCATAGGCTGTCCAGGAGGACCATTAAATTCATTACCCATTCCTTGCATACGTACTCCTGGTCTGGGACCACCAGGATATCTGGGTCCAGCCATAAATGGTGGCTGGCCAGGCATCATTTGTGAAGGTGGCGGTTGCGGACTTGAAGCATGTGTAGGCGGGGAAGGCCGCATTGTTGAATTTGGGAAAAAGTTGGGACCTATTGGTCCGCCTGGGCCCATTGGACCATCACCGCCGGGTGGCATTTGCCCTAATGGGCTTGGTGCTGGACCACCAGCATTATGTGGACCGCCTGGACCAATACCATTTACACCATAACCAGAGCTCACAAAACCGTAATCATGGAAAGCTTTTGCCTCTGATGAATGATCACACTGATCACGTCGTTCAGGTGCTGCACAATATAAATCCCAAAATACACACCACCATGTATGTAGAAATCCAGGTGGTTCACCTAGTGTGATATTTTTTTCCCATCTGATTTCTGACAGGAATGTTTGTGCCGCTTTTTGAGCGCCAATGTGCAGCAGGTATTCGTACACGTATAGTGCCAATTTTTCGCGTGCCTGTGCGTCTGAGGGCACAGATGAGGCTTTTGATTTACCGTACATTGTGATGTGTGTGTCTTATATTATTAGATTTTTATTGTTTTTAATGTGTTTTTTCAATGTCTGTGTTTTGCGGTAAAAGGTGGTTGTTGCCACAAAGATATTTTTCTTTATATGCTAAATATATATATATATGTATATATTAGATCTTATGAAAACTTTATACTTTTATTCACTAAATATTATGTTTATTTTATTTTGAGGCCGCAACTATTTAATTGGCGCTCGCCGCCTTGCTGGAGCTCATGCAGCCGTTCTTCTCTTTTCTATGACTTCCAACATTTTTTTATGTTTAGTTTCTGGGTAATAATTTGTGCGTTTCTTTCTTCGTTTTACAATTTCAGCACTCGCTTGAATTTTTTTCGTGATATTTTATATATTTATATTTTTTTAAGCTGTTTCTGCAAGCACTTTTACAATAAACTTTTTGCTTTTCTTTTATTTATCGTGCAAATTTAGTTCATATATTGCCTTCTTCGCTATTTCTCCTTTTTTACCGTTTTTTTTTTATTTTAATATTTTGTGTTGCTTCTTCTTTGCACACATCACTCCACCGTTCCTGCTGCTGGTCCACACACTAAAAAACCAAAAATACAAAAATTATATATGTATGTATAAAATATAAGCAAAAAAAGGTGTAATGAAAGAGTACACAAAAGTGTGCAGCTAAAATAAGGTTGCCAGATACTTAAAAACAGTAATAATAATACTGCAGTGATTTCTTAATTATAACATATATTATTGTAAAGCTAAATAATATAATAAAAGAAAAATATATATTTAATATTAAAATATATAAAAAAAAAATGTGTACATTATAAGATTTTATATCATATATTATTACTTAAATCAAAACTTGAAAAATTATTGAGTATTACTAAACGGCCAACAAAACACAAGTGCAATATATATTTATTATAAAACTATTGAAATATATACTTACTGTTTTTTTTCGTTTCTTAATCTTATTTATTATAGTAAAAATACAACAAACATAAACTCTACATATACCCTCACTAAATGATATATAAGCGTTAAAATGGTAAAATGCAAATGAACGCAGTAAAAGCCCCTTGTGCTTGGAATGCTACTTTTTAATCACAAATATAAATTAATATAATCGATCTTTAATTTCAAAGTCAATATAATAAAAAAAAAATTTCTCTTAATAGAAAAAATAAAAATCTTGTTATTGTAATGCACCACTGTTAAAAATCCTTTCTCTAAGTTATTATAATTTCCATTTTATATAAAAATTATAATTCAATATCAATTATATCAATTCTATATAGTTTAAAAAACTACGATACGATGATAAAAGTAAACTACGATATTGTTAACCAATTAGCAACATATATACAGAATAATATCACATTGAAGTAATAATTAAAAATTGTAATATTATAAAAACCATTAATATTCCATTATTGTTGTTAGTTAAAAAACCATTAGCAATTAAATCAAGAAATGGTATTATGTACACGAAGTTGAGCTAGAAATAATTTTGACCTGAATTGGTTTTTGTGTTTAGTTGTAAAATAAATGGAGTAAAGAAATAAGTAATTATTGTTGCTTCAAGAATTATGTCTATTATTTAGTCAAGATCTATAATATTTTCTGATTGATGTATAAGCTTTCGTTTTTCGATTTAAAGGGAATGTATATATTGTTGACGATTTTTTGAAAAATATTACATTCAAATAAAGTTATACAATTTCCTATATCAAGTTTCAACTTTAACGCCAATTTTATATACCTTATTTCAACTTTCTGAAGTATAAAATAAATTAACAATACTGAATAAGTAAACAATACTTATTTATTTCATAGATACTTTATAAATTATACAAAGTTCAGAACATTTTGTAAAATTTTATTTACTAATAAATTTAAACAATACTTTATCAACATCTAAAAGCGGTGCTAATATTTTTTTTATAAATTGTGTTGCTTTTATTTTTATATGAATGTCGTTGTCCATTTTAAACCTTTTAAATTATTTAGCACATTTTATTTAAATTATATATTAACATATAAAATCAACTAATAAAAATGCATATTCATACACATTATTAAGTTATTACTAGCGATAAAATTAAGTAAATATTTATATATTTTACTTGCATTTATTTAATCTAACAAAGCGGTGTTTTTCTAAATGGCTACATAAGAAAATTTAAAATTTGTTTAATAATGCTTACAGTATTAAAAATATATATTTTTTAATAACTAATTTATGTGTAACTAATAATGAAGTGTTTGTTTCATACGTTTATATATAATAAATCTATTTTATGTTTACAAACCTTCACTTTTTATGTTTAGCAAATATATTTACTGCTTGTTGTTGTTGCTGCTAATGATTCCTTTTTGTACGAAAATCGGAATATGTAAGAAATGAAAACGTAGCAACGTATCAATAGAAAAATTTCACGTTACCATAAAACACAACACTTATTAAATATTGTTATTAATTTTTATTCAATTTTAAACTTATAGCTTGTATTAGTTATTTGTTTTGTGAAATCTAAATATTTTTTAATAATTTTATAACTATATTTTATTGTTAAGATTTCTGATTAGATTTTAATTTAAATCGAATTTTCTTGTTGGTTCACTGTTTTCCTTTTTTGCTTTCTTTCTACCACTTCATTTATGTTCACATTAAAATTCGTTTAAAATATTTTACATATATTTTGCACAATTTTTTGCCGAAATGTGTAAATTTTCACTGTGTAACATTAATTTACATTTTATTTAGTGTTTTGTACACAAATTTAATAAATACAATTATATTTTACCACAAAATTGCAGCAATAATTTATTACACGACTTTTGCGTCTACTCGTTATGGCTATATGAAAATGTATAGTGCTATACTCATCATGTGCATGTATCCGATGTTCTCTTTCTAACATAATTGAAACAGTATTGCCAATAACTGTATTTATTAGAGTTAAATAAAAACTATACATATACCATGTACGTTAAATATTAAAAACTGAATTTTTTTATGTTTCATAAAAGTATTTATTAAAATTACTTACAATAATATGACATTATTCTAACATTATTATTTGTATTTTAAAAATTTATACTATTCTTGTATTGTGCAAATTTGCAAATATAATAAAATAATATGTTGGCAGCTCTGATTTAAACCAAATAAATAGGGTAACGCAACTTATAGTGCAAGCGACGATATTAAAAAAGCTTATAAAAAGATCTAAGTCGATAAAAAATTGTGTATAATTGTTTTAAAAATTATTTTTTAAACAGTTTAATGATTTTAATAATATACAAACAATGTTAAAGTAATACTGTCACTATTTTAAAAGCGTGACGAATTTCAAATTAAACATTATTGATTTCTTTATTTACTATCGCCGACGATAACAGGTTGAAAGTGCCAGAATATTTCATCTCTTTCCTGTACATAGGTAAAGTATAATAACGCCGGCATTTTTTATTTTATTTTCTTTTGCATTCCTATTTTTGTTGGTTGAAAGACCAAACAGTGATGTATTTTTGAAATTTTTTAGGGTTTGTAATGGCAATTGCGTACATACATTTTCTATAAAATAAAACATATATATAAAATAATTACAATATATATTCAATTTGTTTTACCTATTTGTTTTATAAAGTTTTCTTAATAATTTTGTTACTGAAATTGTTATGTAATTATAAAAAAAAATACATATTAACAGAATTACATATTATTTATTTTATATTAAAAAAATTAGAATGTAATAAAAGTAAAAAAAAGAATATTTCTTTTCCTCTGATTGAATTACATATTATTAATTTTATTATATCTTATTATTGTAAGGAATTAATTTTTGTTTATAGTTTCTTATTCATACTCCCATGTTCGATATATTTGAAATTTCCTTTTATATGATGAGTTTAAGACATAATTTTTCTTTTAAATGTGTGCTGGGTTAAAGTTTTTTATATATCATTTTTATCCCGTTTAAAAATATCAATTTCAGTTAAATCCTTTCGCAAAGATTTGTCTATTTTAGAAAAGGGTTTTTTTTTTTATATTTTAAGTGTTAAATATTATATTTAATTTATAGCACTTAAATTTTAGTATTTTATATTATCAAAATAATATTTTTCTTTGATAAATAATAAAGAAGTGTTGTTGTTTAACAAATTGGTATTGAAAATGTAATACTGTTTTATCAACTTTATCAGTGGCAATAATGTAATGTTATTAACATTGTAATTTTAAATTCGTCAAGCTAACTGAATATAAATAATTTCAAAAATAAATACAGTTTAGCAACACATTGCGAATCAAAAAATCTACTAGTATTTAATTTTCAAACTGTTAGTTTCTAATATTAAAGTTCTATTCTAAACTTAAAAAATAAAATGAATTTGAATATAATTGTGCATATGTTGTTTATTTAACAGGATTATGTATGTTACCTTATTAAACTATTAAATCCTTACTCTCTTCACATTGTTTCTCTAGACTTGCGCATAACATTTTCAGTTGTATTACATTTTTAGCGCCAAGTTGTAAATGCATATATTTCACCTCGATTTTATTCAACACATTAACACAATTTTGAAAACAACAGTATAATTTTGTCTACCGTTGTGTTGAGTACGTGTGGATTTTGTGATGATTTTGTTTACAATAAAAATCTAACGAATTTTTGTTTTGATTTGGTTAAATTTATACTTCAAAGTCTTGTATTAAATATAAATGGAAAATACCATAAATTATAATCGATAATAATAAAAATTAGTCGAAGTAAAAATAAAAAGGTAATTTAATAATGATAATTATATTGATATATTGTTATGTGAATTGTATTCTTTTTTTTTGTAGTTATACAATTTTATGAAGAAGTTATTGTTTGAAACATAGTCATTACATTATAAATAATGTCAAATTAATTTATTTCCACTGTGAATATTTTTATTAGTAAAATAACTAAGCAATAAAATTATAAACTGTGGTAAATTCTTGTTTCCTCAAAGAGTTTTTTATTATTATTTTTCCGCTAACTGAGGCAGAAAACATCACACGTTTATAGGATCCGTTCCTGTTTAACGCTCGTGGGCTTGTATTTGCTTTCAACTTTGCAAAATAGTTCCTTTTTATTAGGTGAAAAATAACGTTATTTATATTCCAACAAAGTAAACTATTAACGGTGTTTACACTATAGAAACAGTAAACATATCTTACAATGTATTTTTACTAAATTTTAAAAATAATTTAAAATATTTATGCATTATATACCACCGAGAAGACTATATCAGTCACTGCAGTTAGTTCATACTATAAATATATTTAAAATAAATGTGAATTATAATTTACTTCTATAAAAAATAAATACTACTATAACCGCATTTACAAATACATTCTGTGATAATAAAATATTTTATAGAACGCATTATTACACATTATAGAACTTTTCAAAAATTAGTATAAATCGATAAGACAGATCTTTTTTTAATGTATTCCCAAAATTTCTTGAAAGTTAGAGCCATAGAAATGGAGTTATTTCCTAGTCTTTTGAATGGCTTTCACGTCCCCGAAATACTTTCTGGGAAATATTAAATGCCGCCCAAATCAACTGAATACGGAGAGTGGTTAAGCTTACCGATGTATTTAATTGCCAATAGATGGCTTCAGAAAACATACATATTTGAAAAAGTTCTGTTAACTTTTGGCTGCGCCTTATTCACATACATATATGTTCAATTCATACACCATGCTATCTATTAAGTATTTCATATATAAATTTGGAATTTCGTAGTATAAATACGACTCTCTGCTTCACTTAGTAAAAAAGCAATATATTATTGACCCTGTATAATTATTAAACCGTCATATATGCTTCTTTTATCCACTATTGACAACTGTGTTGATTGAAATAAAATTTTTATGATTAACTTAAAACTCTTAGGATATTTACGTCTATTGAAATAAGGCGGTTTTCCATCGGCGTATTGACATGTTACCAAAAACAGTTCAATTTTATTTTTTTATTTAAGTAAAAAAAAGGTTATTAAAAAAGGTAGATTAGGTTCAGAAGGCGCGTGCTGACCGTTGTCAGTATTTCTATTAAAAAAGTTTGTGTACTAAAAATTTTTTAATTAAGCTAAAATTTTTTGTAGATTTAGAAAAAATAAGAAAGATCTCGCTACTTGCCGCTTTGTTGGGAAATATACGTTGAATAATTCATTAAACTGTGTTTTTAACCCTATATTAGCAAAATAATCAGATTGTGTGGAATAATGTTGTTGTTATATTTAAAAAACGCATAATAATAATCATATGCAGAGATCCATGCTTCTAGGACTGAGTCTATAAACTTTAGTTTTACAGCTTATACTGTATAGGCGTATTAAAAACAAATTCGATATTATGAAATTCGATATTATAAAAGATCGGATTAATAACATGGCACTGTAACTTATGGTGATATCTTGGCAAAATAATAGTGTAAGATATAGACATAAAAAATTTATTCTGGATTTACGGTGTGATGTACTGCAACGAACCTAATATAACAACTTATACGTTACTAATTATAACATATGGACTTTAACATCTGAAAATACAGTTATTTAGAAAAATGTACATACTACGCCTTATCAGAACTAAGCAACTTGAAAAAATGCTGGCAGTATGAAAATCTAGAAATATCTTAATTATATATTCTTGAAGAATTGATTAGATTGTTAAGTATCCCATCCATATTTTTATATTTTTTTTGTAATTTTTTATTTTTAGCTTTAAATTAAATTATGATAAATAAAAGTAATATATGTAAAACTAGTGGCTATATCTTCGTTTGTTGCACGTATATAAATTTCTAATATTAATCCGCATGTCAATAACAAATATTACACAACTATAAAACTATGAACCTCACAAAAACAACAATAATAAAATATGACAACATAGGAAAATCAATATTTTTTTATAATAAAGGAACAAAAAGTAAACTAAAACTCAATCGGAGTTAGCCGGCTATTTTTCTTATAGTATAGATATATAAAAGATTCACCTGAGTGGATCTACTTCTATTAGAGATTTCATCTCTATTATATATTTTAGAAGCCCGTTTGCTATGTAGCATATAGTTTTTTATGCAATCTATAAAAATTTTATTATTTAATAATAAAAATAATAACAAATAGAAGTATAATAACTATATTTATAATTTAAAACGAATAAATTATTTTTACAAATTATGACTATAGTTCAAATTTCGTCACTTTTCCTTTTACGGTAGTCATATTGAACCATATGTCCATAAAATTTTGAATCTCAAATGCACAAATATTGTATATACTCAAGTAATATTAGATTGCAAGACTCACGTTATTAATATTTAGTAAAATAAATTTTAAATCTTAAAAACGTTTTGGAATTTTAATTTATTTTCATATAATTGTATTTGATTACTCTAACGTTCTTATCTTTGAGGAAATTATTGTAAAATTATTTAATTTGGGAAGTCATCACCCCATCACCTTAAGAATATATTGTTGGATCTACAATTACAATCAAAAATTTTAAAAATGTTCTTGAATTTATTTTCTTAGCCTTATAAAATATATTCACATTCAAATATAGAACCATAGTACCATACGTTTTTAACATTAATTTCTATATTTGCTTAATAATTAAACATTCGCAACTACATCTTCACTCGCTTCCTCATGTTCCTCACATCCTCATTCATTACATCCCTAATTCTAACACTGCTTGATTTTGTATTGAGATCAGGTTGTTCCAAGTAAACATTTGATACTGAAAGAGAGTATTTTATGACAAGTAAATGTCTCCATATCTTCTATTTACAATAAACTTATCCCATTTATTCTTTGGTTTGCTTCTTGTACTCCCCTTTATTTTATTAGTATATTGATTTGTCAGCGATTTCGGCATACCACCCCGATTCAACCATGCTCTTTCTCTCATGACATTGTAGTATATATTATTTTTTTTTTTTTTCATTAGAAAAATTCATTTCCTTCAAAAAGAATTATTACTATTTTTTTAATTGCTTTATAAATCTTAATTACGACTCTGCTGTACATAATTAAAGCTAATTATATAAAATAGTAAACTGATATTAACATATGTACTAAAATAGTAACTCAACTGGAATGATTTTACTAATTTTTACAAGATTGATCCATCAGTTCGCAGTGCACATTTGACATTGAAATTTTTTAACCAGAATCATTTGTTGTAAAAGTAAAATTGTATAAAAAATTGTAAAATTGTAAATTTATAATTTTTTTATTACCGTCTACTATTTTAAACAGTTTTATACAGGTGATAAAAAACCAAAGTAATTTTTCTATAAATTTTATATACTTAGTGCAAGCCGAATTAATATTAATGAGTTTTTTAATGTCACAGTTATACTCGTTTAATGTCACACTCGTACTTTTAAGTGGTCTAAAAACTTAGTCAATATTAAAGTTTGTTAACCGATTTGAATCAAAAACGTCTTTTTATAGGTTAAATCTACATTACCTTTCAATTGCTTCTAACAATAACCATTCATACTAGCAATGGACCGTTTTTACGTGTCTTCTTCTTTAGCAAATATTTTGTATATAGAAAAGTTTTGAAATACGTAGGGCAGAATAATATATACCTGACTTGGGCTTTTTCTATTTATTTTAAATTTATGAATAAATTTTTTCCAATGACACCTTTTTGCTTTGTTTGTTTTTACGTTGTCGCCTAAAGACATTTTGATTCAAATTAGTTGTGATATGAGATACATTCCCAATGGTGAATAAAATTTTATATGACATACAACTTTTGCTTCAGTTCAGTGATTTTGCTATACAATGGTAACATTTTCTGTAAAATGGTTTACTACACCTACTACTTTGTTGGTGTATGAATATGTATCCTTGTGGCTGCAAGGACAGTTCTCAAGTTGAAGTTAATTAAAAAGTTATGTTTTAATTAAAATGAGTCATACTTTATTAAAAACTCTTTATAGGCCTTGCTGTGTTATCGTTAGACATATACTATAATTTATTAAATTAAACTACCTTTATTATATAAATTATTTATTAATTTTTAATGGAGTGGAAGAAACAATTATTTAAAAGTTGGAATTTTTGTAAAATTATTTAAAAAATGATATAAAATATAAAAATTATTTAATGTAATAAACTGATTAAACATTGCTAACGATATTTTTAAAACTATTTGAACATAATTGCATATAGTATACCTGATAGGCTATTGAAGTGTTACATATTCAAGCGACCACTTTTCTGTGTGAAATTTTTTTTTAAATTTGTGGAAATAATCAAAAATTTCAGAATCCATCACTTTAGCTCGATGTAGCCATCGAGTTACATGCTTCACGAATATGATCTTCCGGTATTTTAATCCATTCCTGAACAATGACTTTCTTCAGCGAATCCATACTGGCATATTATTTAGTCCTCACCTTGCTCTCCAAAATTGCCCAGAAAACACAATGTTGGAAAATTCGCCATGTTTGTGCAAGCGTAACAACTCCTTTACTCTTTCGAGTCTAAATTTTTGTTGCTTTGGTGTAAAATCTTGTGGAACTTGTAAGACTTTACCTTGAACTTATTTTGGAATAAGTGTCGGTTGCTTCGCTGGAATATTTTCAGTTCTTTAGCCATTTGATTACAACTACTACGTGGATTTGGTTCAAACGAGCCCTCACTTGCCGAACCATTTCAGGTGATGTTGCATTTTTTTTCGTTCACCTCATGAACAATAGCTGGATGTGATTTTTCTGCCAAATATAACGCAATCACACTATTAGATTTGAATTTCATTTCGAATAACTTTTGTTCTATAAAATTTAGACGCAAATGCTTTTGGTAGCTTGTAAATAATATAAACAGCTGTCAGAGATGGAAATCTTTTTCTTTCAAGCGTCGCATCTGACAGGAACCAACTTCAAATACAAAAAATGGCTAGCAAAAAAATGCAATCTGCCAAGGTAGTTTTCACTATAAATATACTAAAAAATAATAAACACTCTTCTCAGTTTAATGTGATGTCAATCGGTTGCTTTCAGTCATCATATGTTATTGTTTAATAAGGAACCATGCCTCTAGAATTTTATAAATGGTATCACGATATACTTCCATATGATTTGACATTTATAATGTCAATGCTCTTATCATGCATGTCCTGCTGTATGGTGCAGGAGCTTGGACAACAACCAACAGTGTGAAAGATTTATACTCTTACGCGTTGGGAAGAAATGTGGAATTGTATGGAATAATGACATTGACATAGTTAAGCGCATAAAAATTTATTGGCTCTGGTGGTTTGTTTATTTCATACGAATATACGAAAATGCTACAAATGCTAGAAAAGTTTTTGATTCAATATCAGCTGGTGAAAAAGGAGTCCGCATCTTTGATGGATGAATCAGGTGACAGACGATATGAAAGCATTGGGTACTACCAACACGTGACAGCAAGTCACTGATTGGGCTGGCTAAAAGAGGTTACTAGATACTGCCAAGAACGATTCACGTTTCTAATGACCAATTAAGTAAGAAGGTAAATAATCTTATTGCCCAACTATATCCGGATAAAGCGGTAACTCATTAGGAGATTATTTTTTGTGGAATAGGTATAGCTGTATTTGAGGTAGTTGAGTTCAAAAACACAAACTATCTAAACAATAGCTTAAACTATTTTCAATGTAGGCTTTACTATTGTTTTACTATTTGAGTTTATGATTTGTTTATCAAAATTATTTTCCGAAACATTTTGTTTTCTAATCTCGTATTTTCTTTTGGCACATTAGTAAAAATATATGTATTTGATATCTTTATATATCTTAATTAAAAGTAGCAAATCCTTAAAAGTTTCAGTTTTTAAATGATCATTTCTCAAACTGTAAGTCCGTGCAAAATCTAGTGGCAAACAATCTTTATTAAAAACCAAGAGTATCAAAAAATGTTCAAAATAAAACATAAAAACGAAAGAATAAATAAAAAATAATACACAAAAAGTATGAAAAAGCAAAAAAGTGTTTAAAACACTGTTAATACTGCTTTGGAATTTCCGCTTTAAGTTCATTTATTTTACTTATATTTTTTTCCCGCATTTTATTTTTACAACATTTTTCATTAAATTTACTGCAACAAGCACAGTTCAGAACAAGCACATCAACAATAGTAGATACGTACCACATGAAGTATTCTTGTGCAGCTCATACACATGACACTGGTGCAATGCTGCTTCTCAACTGCGAACGTATCCATCCAAAGCAAATAATACGTATACGCTCAAGTGTGCTTTAGAATTGGTAGCATCAGGAATCCGAGAACCATCGGCCTTTTTGTGCTCATACACTTCGTTTGTTGGCTGCACTTAAATTGTATGAAATGATGCATTCGTACAAAGCCAAGCTTGTGTATGTCAATAAATTTGTCCATATATATATATATATATGGACAAATATATATATATATGCTATGTGTTAAATGTAAATATATATGGGAATACATAAGGAGTTAAGCTATAGAATAAGGTTTTTGGTTATTTGAAAATGTTGGTTTGTTGACCAAGGTGAAGTAGGAATTGTTATTGGTTTTGTAGTTTGTTGGGATTTGAAATAATCCTTGTTGTATTGATTTAACTATGTACATTGCTGTACATACTAATTTGTTAAGTATTTACATGGATTTATTATCTATTCTTTTCTACAACTACGAGTATCTTAAAATATTTAGAGAAAGTATATAGGATACTGTTTTTAAATATCCAAGCAAAATGTTGATATAAATATCAATAGATATAAATAGATAGATATAATAGATATAAATATCAATAGATATGATTTAGTGTCATTACATCTTCTAATGCAGTACGTCGTTATCCATTAAATAATTTATTCTTTGGTACACGTACTTTAATCAGACTAGTTAGTTCGTAAAGTAGTAGATAAGTGTATGCTAGTGATCGTATCATAGAAGTAGGACCTTTGAAATACTTTATTATCTCTTCACAAACTCACTCAATATTTTAGGTGTATATTAGGTGATTGTAACAAATATCTGCGATTTTTGTTACTAAATATTGTTGGTACACATATATTTTGTCAAGTGAACATCGATTATGTCAAGTGAACACCTATTGAAAAGTTGATATTTTTTGTGCAAACTGTTGTATAATTCATCGCTTTTCTGCAGATAACCTTATCAGCTTAAGTTTTAATGCTTTTAATATAGACAAGTTAGGCCGTACAAAATAACTATCTACTATAATTTTTGAATTTGGATTGGTTAAGGTTAGTTATTTTATTACAGATTCAAGCAATCGTCATGCCAACAACAGCGTTTCGATGACGATGTTTCTCTTCAAATTCTCTTTAGTGATAAAGTTCAATTTTCGTTTTAGCCTTGGTATGGTGTAGCAATTGTCCTGAAGGCGTGATAAACTAGCACTTTTCTTAAAATAATGAAAGTGTGACACAAACGATCAGTCATTCTGATCGGTACAGTTACATGATTATCATATATTGGAATGGAAGATATGTGGTTATAAGAGGACGATGTCACAAGCCTCATAACATATCCTTAACATATCTTTATTGTATCCATACATATCTTTATCTTAACATATCCTTATTATCCTTGTTATTATTATGAATTCATTAGATGCTAAAATTGTATAATTTCAATTTTGTTTTCTGTAAACATATCACAACCGATCTTCAATAATTCATTCGATACCGTTTTATAGAACCATTAAGTGTTATTGAAATCGTTTGTCGTTTTAAAAAAGTATAACGAAGTTTACTGAAATCACAATTAAATAATGTGTGGTGTTTAAATTACTTATACATTTTTAATTATTTCAAGAATAATGTCTTGAAATAAAAAATAATGTCTTGAAAGAAAAAATAGAATTATTTATGAATACTTAATAATTCTATGTATTATAAAAGCTATGTATTCTATCATTTAAAGGTCGCCATATTTCCATATAACATAAGACAATAATGATTTCCGAAAAATAAAAAAGTACAGATCTTTTTTTATTAAAATGACTTATTTTAAATAAAGTATTTATAATGCTTTAAAAATATTCTAATAATTAAAAAATATTTAAAAATTTAATAATAAATTCTACAAATGAAATTTTCTTGATTATTTCGAATATAACTTAATTTTGAATTTTAGTTAATGAACTCATAATACTTAAACAGC